AAACGTCAGAAAAAACACTGATTCATTTCCACAATTTACTTATTCACAGTGTAAATACAGTGTACATTAAGTATCACTTTGTTTTATAATCAGTACCAAACATACACAGATTCCAATTGCAACGAAACGAAACAGCTTTTAAGAAATTTAAAAGGGAAAAAAAAGAGTTAACTTAAATTACTAAACTTCTGAATTTCATTCTGTCTAACAATTGACATTCATGTGTAACGTCACTATGACTGCCTAAAGGCAACTGGAGCACAATAATCAACAATTGATGTCTCAGTGAATAATAAAATGCAAACTACGAACATCAACTCTGCACCTGCAGATAAACTAATTGACCTTACAACAATATTATGATTCTGAGGTTGTCAGCACCTCAACTATGACAGACACTAGCCTTAGAGTAGCGGACAAAATGTTACGGTAATGAATGATCTAAGGTTAATCTCATTAGGTTTTTCCATAAACTTGTCTTTCACATTAACCCAACGCAGATATCTGAAAAATATGTTTTTGGGAAAAAAACACATCATAGGAGTCTATGAGGTGACCTCTGCTGTAGAGCTGAACACTTTTTTCAGCAGGTTTGAGACCTCTGGGACTGTAGAGAGTTGCAGTAATGTGCTGAAATCCGTGTTCACACAGCCTGATGACAGAGTGGAAATCACAGTAGGACAGGTAGCCGATGCATTTAGACACCTTAACACTCGTAAGTCCACTGGCCCCGACAACATCAGCGCCTCTGTCCTCAAGAGCTACAGTAAGGAGCTCGCCCCTGTGTGGCAGCCCATCTTCCAGCACTCGCTGGACACACACACAGTTCCCACAGCCTGGAAAACCTCCCATATAATCCCACTCCCTAAGAAAACATGTCCCAAAGAGTGTAACAACTATCGACCTGTGGCTCTTACCTCTATACTGATGAAATCACTGAAAAAATCATCTCCCATCTGCTTTCTCAGTCAATTCAGGATAAGTTAGACCCCTACCAGTTTGCTTACAAGCGCAGTACTGAAGATGCAGTAGCCACCCTCACGCATGTGGTCTCAAAGCATCTGGATACAACAAAAAGCAGACCCTATGCCAGAGTACTGTTTATTGACTTTTCCTCAGCATTTAACACAATCAGACCAGACATACTCCTTTCCAAAATGCACCAGTTAGAGATAAATCCATGTCTCATTCATTGGTACAACTCCTTCCTCACTAACAAACAACAGTTGGTCAAAATCAACAACACATTCTGCCCCCCACTCACAACCAGTACTGGCGCTCCCCAAGGCTGTGTCAGCTCACCACTGTTATTCACCATCTACACCAATGACTGCATCATTAGCACGACCAATCAATATCTGATCAAATTCTCGGATGACACAGCACTGGTGGCATTGATGACAGAGGGGGAGAAACCAAACCCCTATTTTGATAGTGTGAACACAGTGGTCCAATGGTGTAGCCAGAATGCCCTCATCTTAAACTCCACCAAAACAGAGGAGGTCATTTTTGGATCCACACAGTTCACACCAGCCCCGGTCATCATTCATAACAAATCCATAAAGCAGTCCTCATCCTTTAGATATTTGGGAGTGTATGTGGACAGCGCTCTCTCCTGGTCAAATCATGTGGATCACGTATGCAGCAAGGGACAGCAGAGAATCTACTTTCTGAGCAGACTTATGCCAGGACCACACTGCCTGCGCACCGAAATTCTTGCGCGAGCCGGAGCACCACCGTTCACATCAGACGCGCATTTCTCCGCGCCGGTCAACAAGCGATTCTGCTCCCAGCTGTTGTTTTTCCATCATGGGTAACTGCCCAGCTTGACACATTCGCTCGTGGCTCGCACAGAAAATAGACCAGACGCCGAAATGATCGCTGCAGGGCCGGCGGCGGAGCTGCGCGGCACGGCCGGTGTGGATGACACAATCGGTTAACATGGGTGCCGAAAGGAAACTGGCTTCATTTCTCAGCGCTTCGAGGCTATTCGCGGCGCTTCCACGGGCGGTGTGGCCCTGGCGTTAGATCTTTTGCAGTCAGTAGGGAGATTCCCCACCTCTTCTTCTGCTCCACAATCCACAGCATCCTGCTCTACGGAGGTCTGGTCTGGCTCTGTGGCCTCTCAGTTCAGCTGAAAAGCAGGATTACAAGACTGCTGAATGTCTGCTCAAAGTTAGTCGGTCATTCTGTGGAAAAGTCTTTCCTCGACAGTTGTACCACGGGCACCATCAGATTGGCTGAGAAGATCAGCTCTGACCATTCTCATGTCCTACACAAGAAGTACCAGCTTCTGCCCTCCGGGAGGCGCTTTAGGGTGCCGAGTTGCAAGAGGAATAAAAGAGAAATAAAAACTTTCTTTTATTCCTCATTCCATCGAACTGCTGAATCAACAGGGCAGGTCAAGGAGGTGACCCCCTCTGCACACATATACACACACTACATGTACTGCTGGACTTAAACCCCCTGCCCTACAGACACAATGCATCCATGCTGCTTTTTTACTACTTTTGAGGGTTTGCATTCTATAATGTTTTTTATGTCATATTTAAGTCTTTCGTGCTTATGTCTTATGTTTTTATTGTGTCCTGCTTGTGGATGGATGACAGATTGTGAGCTGGAGAAGCATGACAAATTTCTGTGCAAACAGACAATAAAAGTATTATCTTATTTTATCTTATCTTTTGTTAGTCCATTTCATGATAAACTCATGATTTTATTTCTGATCCTAATTGTTTGAGGATAAGCAATGTATCTCCTCTTAATGTTACTTTGCTAAATTAGCCTGCTAACAAGGTGACGAGCACACAGCTGGACTATCTACTTGGACATTGCACTACTCACTCATTAGAACTTGAACTGTTAGAATAGACATAAGAACACTTTGCAAATACTGCACAATAAGTCTATTTATATAACTACTGTTCATATGTATATTCATTGTATTATATGTATTGCATTCACATCTTGCACAGTTTAGATTTCATAGCCTCGCCTCTTAGGTAATACTTGAATACGGCAACACTTGTCATTGGAAAGTCCGAAAAACGAAAGAAAAAAGTTACTTATTCAGGCAATCTGCTATTTCTGATCCGTTTCAATACAGTTACCATAACGTTTACAATACGAGTGCACTCAAAATGTGGGGGCAGCTAATTTGACCACAGATACGTAGCTTGAGCACGCAGTGTCCCTGGAAGGCACTTCTTTGTGGCAATACTGTGCTATCTATGTGGGAAAATGGCTTATGATAAAGGGGGCTATTTAAATAAGACAGCTACCGAACTAGCTTGGTTAGCATGACCAGACAGCAACCCACCTGTGCTTAGGCAGACAGCATGTCTCCTGGAAGATCCATTGCAACACACACTGACACACGCAGTCTGACAAACACACACACAAAACATTTATACGAACACTAAACCGGCCTGCCAAATGTAAATATGAATGATGTGTCGTTATATCACATACTTTTATTTATTTTAGCAAAACCAATGTAACGTTACTTCTTGTGACTTTACTAAATTAGCCTGCTAACACAGTGAAAACATTACCAGAGAATACTAGCGATTTTACCATTCAACCACGACAACACTAACTTATTCTCATACCCTTAACGTCTTCATTAGCTAACGTTACAAACATATTATTGATTGCTAAAATGCAAAACTTTTAGCGACATCAATTTGCGGTTTATCTATCTATCTATCTATCTATCTAGTATCTATCATTATTATTATTATTATTATTATTATTATTATGCATTAACTTACTATTACTGTTCTCTCTTGTCGGAAAGATGGTCTGCCCCCCTGGCTCCGTGATTGGATACTAAAGCTATATTCCTGATTGGATAGTCAAATGATATGTAAATCTCAGCATCCCGATTGGCTATTCCTTCGAATGCGTAAAATAACAGTCGAAACAGGGCGTCGGTGGCTTAGTGGATGGAGCAGGCGCCCCATGTACAAGGCTGTTGCCGCAGCGGCCAGGGTTCAAGTCCAGCCTGTGGCCCTTTGCTGTATGTCATCCTCTCTCTCTCTCTCCCTCCCCCTTTCACACTTGGCTGTCCTGTCCATTAAAGGCAAAATTCCCTAAAAAAAATCTTTAAGAAATAACAGTCGAAACTACTTGTACCGACTTGTACTTGCAGATCTGATTTGTACCAGTAGATCTGATCCGTAAATATGGACTCAGTGCGCTGTAAAACTTTTTTGTACTTGTGAAAATTTGATACATAACTGTACAAAAAAAATGTAACTGTAAAAAAAAGTTTAACTGTAAAACTTTGATCCATAACTGCGAAACAGTTTCGTAATTGTGCAAATCTTTTTCATTTGTTCACAAAATGTCATGCACAGCTACGGATTCAAAAGTTAAATGTATTTGTTCACATTCCCAGATTTGAATGCATTCATGCAAAACTTTTTCACACAGTTACAAAACGTTTCCACATGGAATACATATGAAACAAATTTGATTCCATAGTTTGCAGTATCATGAACTGGGTGTCTGAGGCGACAATCCTAGGAAAAAACACAAGCAGCGCAGTCATCTGGTCATGGTCTCTCTCTCTCTTTCCCTCTCTCATGCACACACACACACACACACACACACACACACACACACACACACAATACCCGTCTCTACTGTGGTAACTCCTTCATCCCACCAGCTGCAGGACTCATTAAACAACCTGATAAATAAACTCAGTAAAATCCCCCCTGAATCCATTATTCTGCTGAGATCAAGATAATCCTGATGTTTTGAATTGAAGGTATCCCAATCGTACTACAAACTTATCAACAACACACACTGAAGATTTAATACAGATCAAAACTACAGTATATAATCTAATTTCAAAATCCTTTTTTTACCAATCAATTTTCAAGATTTGATCCAATCCATAAATCTGATCAGATTTCTTTTGATAAACTTGGCCCTGGTTTTAGTCAGACTTTATGTGTCTCTCAGTGAAAACACTAAAGGACGATCCTCACCTTATAAACAATTCCTGCAATGGTGGTCCCTGTCTTTTTGGCACTGGGAGCTTTGTAGCCAAACTCGGACAAACTGGACTCCAGCACTGCATTCCTGGAAATAATGAGCATGAGAGACAGATAGACAAACAGACGGAGATGTTCATAGTAGTACTGATTCACTGTCGCCCTCCTATCTCTCTTGCCATAAACATCATAGAACTATTTTGTATTGTGTTTGTTTGTTATTGGTCTCCAAACTGATCATGGCTCTGTACAGCAAAGGCTGAGATGCAGCTGATAGACAGAGCCATGATCTGTTTGGAGACCAGGATCTTGGAAAACTAATGCACATATTTAGTTTTTTTAAAAAGTCATTCAACATCACTTCCGCATCGGCCTACAGAAAAATGTCATCCCCGGAGCACTCTATTCAAAGTCTAAAGGAAAAAAAGGAAAAAAGCCTCACAAAATGAAAAGATTCTACTATCCAAACCTCCAAATACTTTCCCCAGTTTACACCATTCTAGTGTGCCTGTACATTATATTAAAACTATGCTAAAACAGATACTGATACCAGGCCACCACTGAAGCAGTGACACTAACAATAGATAAGCGTTTCTTTACCTGCGGCTGTTCTCAAAGCAGAAACCTCCATTCTGCAGCTTACAAAGCTTCAAACTGTGAAGCATTTTTATTCTGAAGACAGACGAGATGAAGAGAAACTGCTGATTCTGTTCTGAAAAATGACAAACCCTCAATAAGAGCCCCGCCACGCGTTGTGTCAGCGCGACTTTAAGGTTTTTACTTTTACTTTCACTTTTAACCGCAAGCCAAACCTTACTGCTCTCCACTGTAAAAAATACCCACATTAACTGCACATTTGTTTTCATGTTGAGTTTGAAAGAGTGATTTTTCATTGAAAAGCCTGGTAGTCTTGTTAGAGGAGTAAAGAAGCTTTTCTCCACTTTTCTCCCACTTCAGTTTCTTTGAATTTACTTTTTCCTGACACACGACTCTCAAATTTGGAATAAAGGAAGTATCTCCATCTTAAAGGAAAATGTGCTCTTAACTTGGCATAATTTATGAAGAAAACATTCATCTCATTCTGCTACCCTGGCCATGAAGTTATCAGGAGCCACTGAAATGAACTTCTGAATTATACTTACTGTTATTTCTTGCAGTGTATTACAATTTGCCTTCAGCAGATCTAAACAATACTGCTACTAACAACTTAAAAATGTATATTATTTAAGTGTTTTAAAGAAATCAGTCAACAGTTGTATCACATGTCCTGTCAGGTTTATTAGAAAACTATGTTATGAAAATACTATGGTGTTCTATTTTGTTTCCCGATATTGCAGGAAATGGGACTGACACTAAATAAAAGTACGGCTGAGGCAAGTTCAATCTCAAAACAGTGTGCACAGGTTTGCTGCGGTTTCCAGGTTGAATGACAAAACAGCATGCACCAGCTTTGTGGTATGTTTCTCTCATTTGGTGGGTGTGTCATAGATGTTACCCAATCAGCAGCAACATCAGGGTCCAAAATTAACACCTGCCAATCTCCCAAATTATGTCTCACCAAGAGTGGTGAGATATAATTTTGGAATTTGAGCTAGAGTTAACATTGTGCAGTAATAATGAAAAGCTATTTTGTGGTGCAAAGGAAATGTATGCGGATGCTTGGCAATGGGTTTACTTAAATGTGTTCCATGCAGACTTCAGTATATATATTAATATTCAGATGTTAAACATGTAAGTACATAAATGTAAAATCAAAAAATTAAGATTTGTGATGTGCAATTGTTCTGCCTGTGACCTTTCATCAAAAAGTGATCTAGATTCATGTGATGCTGGAAAAGGAAGGTTATCTCATTTTGACCAAAAATGTGCTTCCTCAGTCATTTTTCTTGCATTGCTTACATGCGTCTAGAGTGAGAGAAATGAAGTTAGAATAGAATAGAATAGAATAGAATAGAATAGAATAGAATAGAATAGTACTTTATTGTCGTTATACAAGTACAACAAAATTAAGACGGGCATCTCTCTTGTATACAGACAGCTATTGGGGGAAGCTGTAACATAACATCCAACCAGGTTCTGTCATACTCTAAGCCCCTGGTTAGATCACTGGACCCCCTTCAGTTTGCCAAATGTGGGTTTAGAAAATGACATCCTTTCCCTGTTTCACCTATGGCTATGCTTGATTTGGACAGGGCAGCGAGTAGTATGAAAACCATGCTCTTTGATTTCTCCAGTGCGTTCAGCACCATCTAGGCAGGGATGCAAGTACACACTCCCCTGGTGTCATGGATTGTGAAGTGTGTCTCTGGTCAACCACAGTATGTGAGACTGTGGGATTGCTGTCCTGTCATTATTTATGCTCACCCTATACACATCAGATGTCAATTCCAAGTCCTGCAACCTGCAAACGTTCTCCAGTGACTCGCTGTACCAACAAGGCAGAGTAAAGGGGTGTCATGGACTCCTTTGTCAGCTGGTGTGAGCTGGAGCATCTGTAAGACAAAGAATTGAATTTCCCCTCAGGGGGTTAATAAAGTATATAAAATCTAAAATCTAAAGAAAAAAAAAAAGGAGTTAATGTTGGACTTCAGTAGGTTGAAAACTCCCCCTTATCTCGTTTCAGGGGGTGGACGTGGACATTGTTAAGGACTAGCTGGAAGTACATCTGGACGACAAATTGGACCCAGCTAGAAACACTGAGGCTGTGAACAAGAGGGGCCAAAGCTGACTTTAATTTCAGAAAAGGCTATGATCATTCAATGTCCGCAACACTGTGCTGAGGATGTTCTACAAGGGTGTGCTAGCCAGTCCAATTTTTTTGCTGTCATGTGCTGAGGCAGCAGGGTAACATCAGCCAATGCAAACAGAACCAACAAGATCATGAGGAAGGGTGGCTTTGTCCTGAAGTGAGAGCTTACTTCTATGGTGTTGTCATCAGAGAAGGGGATTGCTACACAAGCTGCATAGCATCATGAGCCCCTTTAACACCAACATTTCCAGGAACTTTTATTACCAGGAATTTGTTTACCTGGGTAAAAGAATTCCTGGTAATCTGTGTGGTTTGCATTTCCACAGCACCTCAAAGTTCCGGATAATTTATTCAAATTAGCATGATAACATAGATACATGCTGGTGTGGGGAGAGGAGGGGCTGTTTGTCTCAGCCAGCAGCTCAGTTTAACAGTATTTTGAGATAAGTGTCAAACTAAGTTAGTCTCCATACAAACACCTGTCATTTGAGCTTATTAGTAACAATTCGCTATCAGCTGAACTAGCGTGCAGTCCTTGTGTAAGACATAACGTGACGGTGGATGAGAGACTGTGGACAGAGCATCATATCACTGTCTACATGTTCATGCTTGCTGAACACATGTATTGATAAAGTACTGGCTTCTTACTCTCTAAGGGTTAATGTCACTTACAGTAATGAGTCTAGCTGCCGTCAACTTGAGTCATTTTTGAGTTATCTTCACTTTGTCTCCACCAGGGCCGCTCGGCTGTTCACCGGTTACCGTGTCGCGTTGGTGTGTGTGTAGATGTGTGTAGAGGAGATCAGCGCCGGCACAAAAAAACCGATACCGTCAGCGCTTATCAATACTACGGTCTTTAATAATTTAGCTCCGGAGCTAATTAAGTACCGGGTTTCGGTACCCATCCTTAATCAAAACACAAACGAAGTGAAGCCTGTAGAAATGAAATAAAGTTTCAGCGATCAGTGTTCCTTGGCAAACAGCCCCGCCCCTCAAGAATTCCGGGTAATCTGAAAAGTCCTACCCCCCTACTAGGTACTTTTTCCAGGGTAAATTTGGGGGTGAGGGAAAGTTTTTACCCGGGTAATTTTGGTGGAAATGTGCAGAGGTTTTTCAAAATTCCAGGTAATTGATAAAAGTTCCTGCGGTGGAAAAGGGGCTATGGACAGTGACTCTCCACCACAATGCACCACAGGTGGTCTAAGGAAGTCCTTCCTTCCCATTTCTTCCTACTTTCCTCTCCTTCTCCCCCCTCTCTGTCTCTCTTTCTCTCTCCATCTCTATCATTAGTTCTCAAATCCTCACAACGGGACATAATGTGCTATAATGTGACGTTAAGGAAGTATCATGGTATTAACCATGCACTTTGGCACTAAAGGCCCTGACACACCAAGCTGACGGTTGGCTGTCGGCCAAAGTCGGACCATCGGTGAGCATCTGTCGGCCTAGTTTTTGCAGTGTGTCCTGCACCGTCGGCTTTTCGGTGGATTGACCATGTTGAATCGACGGCGGAGCTTGTAGGTAAGAGAGATCACTGTGATTGGCTGTTCAGCTTAGCGAATCAGTGCACGAGAAGAGAAACGGAAATGACGAAAGAAAGCAAACGACAAAGTCAAGAGAGTTGTTGAATTGGCGGCAGAGCCTGTCGGTGAGAGATCACTCTGATTGGCTGTTCAGGTGAGAAACATCACTCTGATTGGCTGTTCAGCTTAGCGAATCAGTGCACAAGAAGAGAAACGGAAGTGATGAAAGAAAACAAACGATAAAGTCCAGAGGGCACACACAGAAGGCTAATTTTTGATCTGCATTTCATCTGAACTTTCGTGAATATTTTCACAACGCCATGGCCATCTGGAACGAAGACACTGAAGACCAGCTGATCACAATGATTCAGGAGAGGCTAGCTCTGTACGACATCACAGAAAAACGTTAAGCCAACAGAGTGGTGAAAAGAGAACTCTGGCGTGAGATTGAAAATAAGCTTGTTATATCGGATAAGAGTTTCTTTTTGGCCATTGAGCTCTTTAGCAGGAACTGATCGTAATTGTTTGCTAGCTCACACACGATGAATAAGTTCTTTCTTTTTGTTTGTCAGAGAAAAAGCTCAGGAAGAGGTGGGAATCTCTGCGAACCCAGTATACCCGGTACAAGAAACTTGCAGCCTCGGGGAGTGTTGGAGCACAGAAGACTGGCAGGCAGCAGTGGATATTGACCCGGCTGCAGTTACACAAAAAGGAAGGAAACCTCCTCCAACCTAACTATTGTGGTAACTGAACTCTTTTATTTGTTGAGTAAAAAGAAAACATTGTTTCTTTCTTCTGTCATTTACATTTAACATCTGCTCATCATTGGTTTATTTCCTCGCCCCTGTAGCGAGTGAATCTGCCTGTAGTGAAATCGGGGCTAACCGGTGCTTCCCCCTCAGGCTCCACTTCACTCAGCTGCCCAACAGACCCGCTGCTTCTTCCCACTTTAACCTAAATAACAAACCGGGGCTAGCTGGCAGGCTAGCAGAGCGTTAGCCGCAGCATGACTGGAGAGAAGCACAGCCAGTTAGCCTCTACTAGCTTCCCAGCTAGCCCCGGCTCTCCGTTTGGATTTGACCGGAGCACTGAGCCCCGGTTTTTTATTTAGGTTAAAGTGGGAAGAAGCAGCAGGCAGCTGAGTGAAGTGGAGCCTGCCGAGGAAACACCGGGACCCTCTGGATGCAAAAATGAGAGTCAAAAATAATTGTGTTAAATTATCCTGATCTCAATATTGACCAAAATAATTGTGATTATGATTTTTACCATAATCGAGCAGCCCTAGTTTGTACCCCTCTTTTCACATGTATCCTTTCATACATTAACTTGGTTTCACTCTCCCATTATCTTCCACAATCGTGAATTTATTTTTTATTTTTATAAGGAACCTTCGGTAGCTGATGCTGATTCTGAGTCACTCTCAGACTGGACCAGCACCTGAGAGGATTGAGGAGCCTCAAGGCTGAACAAAGACCCAGCACTCCCCTAGCAGAATCCAACATCTGTGGAGCAGAGTCCGCACCTACACTGACCAGAGAGGAGCCACTGCCAAGCACCTCCAGCCAGTCAAGCACTCCGAGGCCTCGGGTAAAGCGCAGCAGGAAGATGCTGGACGAGTCAGTCAGTGAGGAGTCATCAAACTTGATGCGCACCATTGGTCAAACCCTGGAAAAGTTAGCTTCTCAGGAAGAGAACAATCATGCCATCCATGCCTACTGCAAAAACATTGAGCACAGAATGCAGAAGTTGCCCCCACATTTACTGCCATATTTCCAGCATGAGGTGGACGACTGCCTCTTCAAATATTCAGTGGACCAGAGCCTGGCATCAGAAACATGTGACAGACAGTTTAGTAATCTGTAATGATGGATGTGGCAACAAACTTGTAACAGATGTAAATAATTCCTTTTAATGCCGTGCTACGCAGTTGATTATTACATTTATAAGAATTTCATTGTCCTGCACATTTGATTATAAAACACTTTGACTTTGAGAGAGTGTACTTTCAATGACTTTGTGAGAGTGTACTTTCAATATATTGAACTCCAGATAAGATAGTATCATGCAAAATAACTTTATTTTGTATTTTTAGACTAAAGCCATAGAGACCTGAAACCACAGCCAAGTAGTTTTCTTGTCAGTCAGACACTACAATATCCATTACAGGAAACAGGATAGGCATACACATTTCCTATACTTTGCCCCACTGAAAAGGCACTGCACTGATATCAGACACGAAGTAACAGCATAGTTCATCCCTGTGCTGCTTGGCTTGTGTTGTAGCATTGGTTGTGTGTGGCAGGGAAGCCTGCTGTAGGTCAGGCTTCATGAGGTACTCCTTCAAGGGAAATGCCTCATCTGCCACAATGCAATAAGGAGCCAGCTAGTCAGAAGCAGGAAGTGATGCAGGGGCAGGGATGTTGGATGTTCTCTTCTCCAGAGCATCCTGCAGTGAGCATCCACCAAACACTCCGCCATCAGAAATCCGCCCATTGCAACCAACATCTACATAAAGGAACTTGTATTTGCTGTCAACCAGTGCCATTAGGACTATGGGAAATGTATGCTTGTAGTTGTAGAACGTTGATCCAGTTCCTCGTGGGGGGCGAATGTTGATGTGTTTACCATCCAGAGCACCTAGGCAGTTTGGGAAGTTCCACTGAGCCTGGAATCCATCAGCTACTTGCTGCCACTCTTCAATTGTGTCTGAGCACTGAAAAACAAGAAAATAAAATGTAAAACCCATGATGGCTAGTTTCATAAGTCAGACCCCTGATAGCTTTAACAGACAGCACTATAAACCTCATATCACACATACCTTCAAGTATTTCCCCGTTAAAACCTGGTAGATTGCTGTACAGATTTCAGGAACCAATTGCCAAATTGTTGATACTCCCACTTGGAACTGGTAAGAAAGACTCCTTAAGCTTTCCCCTGTAAATATTAACAAGCACATAACTCAGTTATCTATACTACAGACAGTGTGAATTATTTGCACAGAAAGCACAGAAAATCAGTTGTGTATGTATAGTATGAATTAAATAAAGTCACAGTTTCAAGTACTGCTACTGAAAGGACTTGAAATACCACCAATCCATCCATTGACGCCACACAACACTGTTTGTCTAGGCTAATGTACAGTACTAAAAGGAACCCCACATTATTTACATTTCCACAGTCAAGATCATACACACTTGTGTCTACGCCCATTCAGTAACCTACACAGCCTGTGTCTGGCTTTACGAATTTGAGCATACAAAGAAAGCTCTGAACACCTGTTGTGTATGTATTGTTATGGATTAAATACTTTCAGCATTTCAAGTACTGCTACTGAAAGGACTTGAATACCACCGTTCCATGCACTGACGTCACACAATACTGTCTGGCTAGGATAATGTAGTGTCTTTACATACTAAAATGATCTCCAGACCACTTATACACCTCCACAGTCAAGAGCATTCACAGCTGTCCCTACACCCATACAGAAATTATTCTACACAACTTGTGTGTGACTTTAGATATTTGAACATACAAACAAAGATTGAAAGACAGTTTTGAATGAATTGTTTCTGATTAAATACAGCCACAGTTTCAAATACTGATACTGAAAGGGCTTGGAGCACCACAACAAGAATTATTTATTCATCCAGAACTATTCAAATCAATCAATCAATCAATCAATTTTATTTATAAAGCCCAAGATCACAAATCACAATTTGCCTCACAGAGCTTTACAGCATACGACATCCCTCTGTCCTTAGGACATTATTGAAAGTAATAATATTATAATTATGATTCTGGTTTTTGTGGTACAATATGTTGAAAGTATATATTAATATCTGGCAGTATACATATGTGACAATAGTCATATGTGTATAATAACAGTAGAGGTATGACTAATGACTAATGATAACAGCAGCAGGAGGCATCTGGCAGGACCACGGCAGCAGCACAACCACACACGTCACATTATCCACGCATCACTGGGATATAAGTTAACCTGCGAGACAGTGGAGCACAAAGGCTCCGGAGAAGAAGCCGAGTTAGTGACATGCAGTATGGCCGAGTTAGCAAGATGCAGTAACAGGACATGAGAGAGAGAGACAAAGAGAAAGAGAAAGAGAGAAGGAGAGAAGGTGCCCGGTGTAATATAGGAGGTCCCCCAGCAGACTAGGCCTAAGTCAGCCTAACTAGGGGCTGGTACAGGGCAAGCCTGAGCCAGCCCTAACTATAAGCTTTATCAAAGAGGAAAGTCTTAAGTCTAGTCTTAAATGTGGAGACGGTGTCTGCCTCCCGGACCGTAACAGGAAGATGATTCCACAGGAGAGGAGCCTGATAGCTGAAGGCTCTGGCTCCTGATCTACTTTTGGAGACTTTAGGGACCACGAGTAACCCTGCGTTCTCAGAGCGCAGTGTTCTGGTGGGATAATATGGCACTATGAGCTCTCTAAGATATGATGGAGCTTGACCATTTAGAGCTTTATAAGTTAACAGTAGGATTTTAAATTCAATTCTGGATTTTACAGGGAGCCAGTGCAGAGAAGCTAAAACAGGAGAAATATGTTCTCATTTCTTAGTTCATGTTAGTACACATGCTGCTGCATTCTGAATTAGCTGGAGAGTTTTTAAGGACTTACTAGAGCTACCTGATAATAGAGAGTTACAGTAATCCAGCCTTGAGGTAACAAAAGCGTGGACCAATTTTTCTGCATCTTTTCGGGCCAGGATGGGCATAATTTTAAAATTAGAATTAAAGAAGAATTAAAAGACAAACCTTGATCAAATATTACTCGGAGGTTTCTTAAAGTAGTGCTAGAGGCCAGAGCAATGCCATCTAGAGAAACTATGTCATCAGATAAAGAGTCTCTGAGTTGTTTGGGGCCAAGAACAATAACTTCAGTTTTGTCTGAATTCAACATAAGGAAATTGATGCTAATCCAAGTTTTTATGTCTTTAAGGCAATTATGAAGTTTAGTTAATTGATTAGTTTCTTCTTGCTTCATCGATAAATACAACTGTGTATCATCCACATAACAATGGAAATTTACAGAGTGATTTCTAATGATATTACCTTAGGGAAGCATATATAGAGTAAATAGGATTGGTCTGAGCACAGAACCTTGCGGAACTCCAAAACAAACTTTAGTACGTAATATCTGGTGTAAACAGATGAAAGACATTTTAAAATTGTAAATTATCAACTACATTATATTTCTAGTAGTAATAAGTAAGCATTTGTGAAGATTTGTGAAGTGCAGTATCCTTATGTAATGTGCAAGGTGCATATGAAACTGGACAGGAAAGAGCCGAGCGAAATTTTTAAAATCGGAGGTTTCATTTGTCTCCAGCTCTCGACACAGGTTTGGGAAAGCCCCTTGAGCCTGTCGCTGCAGTATCCATGATTTCACCCATTTCGTCCTGTTTCTCCTTATTTTTCCTCTCTGAATCTTCCTTTCTTCTTCCACAAACAAAAGACCAGGGCTGACAATGCCAGTGCCATTTGCAACTTATCAGACATTTTATTAGCTATATGAAACAGTCTGTGGTGAGTGAGAGTGGCGTGAAAATGCTAGGCAACCGCTAGGTCCTTTGTTTATATCTCATGCATTCCTTGGACTTCCGGTTTCCCGAGTTATTTCCTCTCACACATGCGCAGAACGTACGTGCCGGTTGGCCGTCGGATGTAGTCTGTGTAGTGTGTTCAAATGCACTGACACAGGGCAACGTGAGGCGACGTGAGGCGACATGAGGCGACGCAACAGTTGGCTTTGTCGCTGCTAGTTCTTTGACGTCGGTTTGGTGTGTCAGGGCCTTTATACCCACTACCTTAGATCTGTTCCAAAAATATTTATCATTCAGAATGGTAACAACCAGGGCAGAAATTTCACGAGGGCCCTCCTAACTTGGCCCTGTCCCCTTGAAAAAAATATCTGCCCTAAGGCCCTAAAGCCACAGTGGCCTTGATGCCCCGCCCGCACTGCCCCAGGTGATTTTGCGGTTTTCTCTTCTCCCTCCTTCCTGTCAACACGGCTTTGACACCTGCATCTATTGAGAAAAAAAATGTGATAACATTCTGTAATCTTATTGAGCAACATCGAATAAGACAATGCGTACATCACCAGTGGTGGGTTTCATTCAAGCCTGACATGAACTGCTCGGACGGGCTATAAAGACAGTTTGACACCAATCTCTCACCAGCCAACCAGGAGACTTCATCAGACGCCCGGGCAGGGATCGGTACTGAGACCCGGTATTAAACAACCCAAGGCAAGTTTAATCAACACCGTAATAATAGTAAGCTCCGCCATTATAGGCGTTACTTTTTAAAGTTTCGGCATCATGTATCATCATTCTGCAAGGCTGGGGCCACGGTGCAGATGAAGGGAATATAACTTCAAGATTACTCTAGTTAACGACAACTATGCTTGTTACTGTAAGTAAGTGTGATAAAACCTCTGCCAGTCAAGCCAATACTTTATCAATACATGTGATCAGCATAGAAAGCCATATTTCAATCTGCTCTGTCCACAGTCTCCCATTTGCGCTCGCAAGTAGCGAGGCTAACAGCAAAGTGTTAAAGACAAACTAAAATGAAAGCTGTCTGTATGTAGGCTAACACTTTATCTGAACATGTACCTGAGGCAGCGACCTGCAGACAGTGAGTGTCCTCAGTAGAGGAGGGACAGAGAGCAGGATGAATGACTGATACTGATTTTTGTCTTCATGCTGAGATAACATGACTTTCTTCACTCAGTATTGTGATATTGCTGCCATGGACTGTATGAAATTATATCCTGTGTAACTGACCTATAAGGAAAGCATCAGGAGGTGAGGTGTGTGCATATGTGTGTGTGGAGGAGAGGAGAGAGGGACATGCTGGTAGAGAGATGGTGTGTGTTATTAGATACTGTTAATGTCACTTATTATGCTTCTGTGCATTGATAGCGCTTTTGGCCTTTCTAAATATATATACGTATGCAAAAAAAAAGTG